GTAATAGTACTAGTACTGTATAAATCTACTTTTAAATAATAATTGCAGAAGCTGTTGATGGTGCTAGTATTGGACTGGGTGCAGTGGTTGGATTATTAACAATATCACTAGTTATTAGTATCGTTATTAACATCTACTGCTTTATCAAGTATGAATGCACTAGTCCATACTATCAAATTATTTATATTATTTTAGGCTTAAATCTTACCATGCAGCTACTGCTAAAGAAACAAATAAGTAACTCAATAAATGGCAATAATAGACTTTTATATGCATCATTATATAGATTTAATGATGATATATCAATGCAAGCATGTGAATCATATGTTGTACACAAGACTAAAGATGCTACAGATACTACTACAAAAGACTCATTGTATGAGTGTCCAGATATCAATGTCTATGATGATGCTATTTATGTAACATAGCACAGTATTGTAATTGCTTTTAAATAGTTAGTTGGTACTCTTGGTAGTAATGTGCTTTGTGCGGTACAACTGTATTTTTTTAACAATAGTTCATTTATGCTGTGATTTGTTTACTTTATAAAATTAGATGGTCTCAATTGTTGATCATAAAATGAGAAGTACAATTTTTACTTTAATTTAAATAAAGGATTAAAAATTATTTATTATTTGTTATTAAAATTATTTAAGGATTTCATAAATATTGAGATTCTTGATTGAGTGTGACGCTATCTTTATCTTTAAAAAGTATACTTGTACAAAAAAAATGAAATATTAAGGTATAGCGTGCATAGATTACCTTAATGGTGTAGAGTCAATCTTCATTCTATGCTGACTCTTGCTTAGCGAGTATGGCACAATGTTTTTCTTGTGACACTCTTTTATAAAGCTTGAAGTGTGTATGCATGCAGGGAAAACAAAAAATGATTTCTCTTGTAATAACTAGTCTGGGTATATTATAACTGAAATTACAATTTCTTTGTTATTGTAATTCTATATTATGAAAAAATTGAAATTAGTTGTTTTTGTTGTCATAAGAGAGTAAGTAAGTGACTGTTTTGAATTGTTTAGTAAAGTCATAGATATAGTAGAGCTATGTTTTTTGTTGTGATTCAAAAAAAATAACTTTATTCATCTGTGACGCTGATGTATTAACTTTGTTGCCTATGTTGTCAACACTAAGAGGACAAACAAACTATAAGTTTTAAACTGAAGCATGCTACTGTCTAAACAGTTTTCTTAATTTGATTATTCTGGTAGTCTTCCGTTTCTTTGTTGACATGTTTTTACTGCAATTGGTTGTATCTGTTGTCTTCTTGTTGAGTGTCAGTGAAGTTATTAGTCAATGTCCACCTTCCTCAGGTAAGACACTGGATGTGTATAATAACAACTGTATAGGTTTTTATAGGTATCTACCTGAGGCATGATGGAAACTGTTATACTAATGGATCATATTTTTTTGATAATGACATTAAAGGAGAGAGTAACAGTATCCAGTGTGTGTTACCTGATACTGCTCTGAATGATGGAAAGTGGGTTAATTCTAGTGGATCATCAGTTGACTGCAGTACTGATCCTCTTCGTTGTAATAATGAGGTATCTTCACCTAATGCTACTATCAGTCTTTACATACCTACTGGACAAGGCATATCACCATCTGATGATGGCTGGTACAAATGCTGTCTACCCACTAATTGTTCAGATCCTAACACTAACATCATCTTTGCTAATATATTCAGTAAGTGTTCTCATTAAACTAGTACACACTGTCACTTTGTTACTGATTTACTGTAGGATGGGTACAGATTGAAACCATCACAGTTGACCTTCCTTCAAATAAAACAGTTCTACCTCAAACATACACACTACATGCTATTAAAATTGGTAGTAACGATCACGATCCTTTTTTACATAATGCCAGTTGGTACTATGAGTCTGGTAGCAGTAGTACTGAACTTTGCACTGGATATAGGGCCTCATACAATTGTACATTCATGTATGGTAATGGAACGTCAGTGAATTATGGTAATGGAAGGTGGGACTATACTCTAACTGTTACTTGGAATGGAGAAAATATTACTAGTGGAGTACTGAGTCAATCAAACAACAATGGGGATCATGTATTTAGATTCTATTTGTTTTTTGGTCATATCAATCACAACCCAGTAGCAAGAAATAGAGGCATTTTTGTAACAGGTAAATAGCAAAAAAATTACTTTACTATTTTTTATAGTACCAGCAACTGCTCCCTCTTCTTTTATTGAGGTCAACAAGACAGCTACCACTATCACTGTCAGTTGGACTGCACTTGATTCATCTGACGCTGATGGATATGTAGTCAATGTCACTAGTGACACAGACACTGGGCAGACAGTACAGGTGAAGGGAAGTAGTAATAATACAATCACACTGAATGGACTGAGAGGAGAAACAACTTATAGCATCACAGTCAGAGCCTATCAACAATTACTGGGACCTGCTAGTACAATCAGTGTACAGACCTTACCAGGTATTGCTACTCCACCTTTTAATGTACTTGTAACATTGTTGATGTATTTCTAGTTATTAATTCAATCAATTGGACTCTAGTCTCATCCATTACACAACTCAATAACACTCAATATCGTATTGATTGTCTCACAACTACTGATATAAATCCTTCAACTGATGTTTACTGGTTAGTGAATGTAGTGATGAAGAGTAACTCAATGTATACATCAACTGATGTCCTGACATACAACAACACACTACTGGTATATCCTGATCCACTGGGAGTGTCAGTTAATGTTACCTGTATAGCAATGATTGGAGGAGTCAACTACAGTCAATCTGTGATATTACATGGTATGATTATACTTTAATCAATAGTAGATACCTTTGTTTCTTTTCTAGCTCCTAGTGGTCCTCCAAATAATGTGAGAG